GGCGGGTGCTCCCTCAGCAGGACGGCGTCCCTGTCCGAACCCAGAGACGCTCTGGCATGGTCGACTGAAACTGCCTTTCCTGCCTCAGCAGGAGAATTTGCACCAACGTTTACGAAATGTTGTGGCAAAGCATCGTAGTCTTGCAGGTGCCGTGAGTGCTGTGCCTGACTCGGCGGAGTGGACACGTAGTCTAAGGACCTTCTATCTCCCCCCGCATCTCCAGGCTCTTGCACCTCCTTCTAACAGACCGTGGAAAATCTGGTCCTTGCAGAAACCCTGCGGTCAGTGACTCCGGCTCTCGGTGGTACTTGCCGCTCCAGGAGCACAGCTCCGTGGGGCAGTTACCCGCACCGGTGGGGGCAGGAGGGTTCACCCTCCGTCTGCTCCGAGTGCCAGTGAGGATTTGCAGGTAACATTTTCCAGCACAGACCAGACTGAAGGAGCAAAGCAGCAGCGTCTTTCTAGCTCGCATCTCCCAGCTAAGGTCAGCTCTCAAGCTAAGTGATCTGGTAGCATTTCTTCCATTTTTTCTGTTTTTTCTTCTTCCTTTGTCACCAGATATGCAAACAATCAAGCTTGCAGTTTAATTGATCAGCAAGATGCTGAATGCATCACAAAATGGAGGTGTGTGAAACCATGGCTGTAGCCCATCATGTGCTGGGACATGGACTGCTCTGCCAGCCAGGTCCCGGCAACCTCTGTGCTCTCTCCAGAGGCTCCCAGACATCCCAGTCGTTGCAGGAGGCAGAAGCTCTGCACTGGAAGCTGGATCCACACCACAGCCTGACACTACCATGTTAGCTAGAGAAAGCACGACCTCCACTTTTAGTGTGGGCAAAGGTGCCTGGGATAGATCCCACCACGGGGTGGGCGGATGGATGCAGCGATGAAGAGGAGGGAACCCGAAAGGCAACGGGACGCAAAATGTGTCCCGGCTGATGTGCATGCTGAGCTCTTGTCTCTCCTTGTTCGCTGTCAGGGGAATCCCGAGGGATCTGACTGCTCATCACCGCTATCGGTTGAAAGTATGGATTTCCTGGTCTGCGTGCCATGCCCCGATAAAGGCTCCCCAGTGCTATTTCTAGCAGCGTGTACCAGCAAATTGAGCTAATTATTGCCATTACCCACCATCGGGCTTTCGTTGCGTCTCCCTTGAAGGGTGTTAATCAGCGTGGGGCTGTCATTAGCTCTTCATTTCACAAGCACAGTGACTGGCAGCTGGCAAGATGTACCCTGACAGCAAAAAGAGTTCATGACAAGGGAACTGGAGCTGAACAGGGATGCGTTCTGAGACACACCAAGGAAGCATTCATTCCTCTCTTCCTTTGCAGCAGACAGCATTGCCGGAAGCATTGCGATACTCAACAGACTCAGAAAGGCAACTGCACGTGTAATGGTCACACTGGCAAGAGTTGTGTTAAGGGTGGGTGTCAGGAGGACGGGGCCAGACTCTTTTCAGTGGTGCCCAGCGACAGGACAAGGGGCAATGGGCACAAACTGAAGCAGAGGAAGTTCCAGCTGAACAGGAGGAAGAACTTCTTCCCTCTGAGGGTGACCAGGCTGCCCAGGGAGCTCTTCTCTGGAGATATTCCAGACCCTCCTGGACGCGGTGCTGTGCAGCCTGCTGTAGGTGACCCTGCTTCAGCAGGGGGTTGGACTGGGTGACCCACAGAGGGCCCTTCCAACCCCGACCATTCTGTGATTCTGTGATTCTGTGTGACCTGTCCTGTGGCCATGCGCGTCCTTGCTCACATTCAGGCTCAACGCTCTTCTGCATTCCCCTGAGCAGCTGAGTATGGGAGGATGGAGGGTGAAAGGCAGCAAGGAAAGCACAGCTCTGATCTGAACGTGCCTCCAGAGGAACAGTCAGGGTAGTGGCTGAGCGACACCCTAATGCCACGCTCGTTATGCGTGCTTATAAAGAGGTTGAGCTCCCGCTTGAGTAGGAATGCTGTCTCTTCCTAGACCCTAAAAGGCAGTCGGAGAAGTTGCACAGCAGGACGTTAGGGCGGTGGGAGCATGTCCGTGCTCCTTGGAGCCGCGTCCAACGTGTGCAGCCTGTGCTCCTCCTCCTCGGGTTTCCGCAGTGCTGCAGCTTCCTTGTGCTCCTGACGACCATTTTCTTGGTTAGTCATGAAGTCAGCACCCTGTTCACTTTGGATCACTCTTTATTTTGATGGTGAGCAGACCAGCCTGTCCACATTTCTCTGTAAAGCCCCTTCATGCAGCACAAAATAAGCAACAATTAGTAAGCTTAAACCTGCTGAGTTTCATGGCATGTCCTGCGAGTCCTCAAGAGGTGAGAACTTAAACACCCCAGCTGCCAGGCCCAGGTCCATAAACCCTGCAACCCAAATCCACCTGCACCTCCGAGGCTGTAACTCGTGCCACCAGCTTAGCACAGGGACCAGTGCTGGGGGGCAGCCCCTGTCCAGCCAGTGCAAATGGTCCGTGTAAGGATGTCCTATCCTGCTTGGCTCCGATCTGGCATGCCCAGAGGTCTAACAACTGTCAGACAGAAAGGACATGAAGGACAGAAAAAGTTGAGGGCTGACTGGAGAAGTCAGCGGGGAATTTGCTCACTCCTGGGCCAAGAAACAAAGAGGGGGTGAGGCCTCCTGCTCCCAACAGCTCGTCTCTCTGCGGTTCTGGGGCCACACTCAGAGTTAGATTGCCACGCTCTCGGCAGCCTCCATGAAATTGGCTGTATCACTTTATTCTCACATCAAGAGCACGTTTGGCACTGGGTCCGAGGAGAGAAGTGTCCTCGGTGGATTAGAAGAGCTCATTCTCACCTCCCCTGGTAGAAGATGCTCCTCCGAGGTGGGCTGGGGTGGCTGCAGGCGTGTGCCTGCACCCCGTGCAGCTTTGAACGCAGCCCAGGCCACAGCGATGCCCACAGCGATGCCCGGCTTGCTCGTGCTTAGCATTTATTTTTATTCTAGAAGGAGCAAGGGATAAATTGTTAGCAGTTAGCAGCGTGCAGCAGTTTTATGTATTGTCCGTGCCTCATCGTTACAGCACCAAGTTCTCCTGAGAAGCCTGTCCTGAGTTTCTGTGTGGGGGTTAGACCATGTGCAGGGTGGTGACTTCAAAGATAAGCGGTTAGCAGCTTTGTAAAGGAAAAGGAGGAGGCTTGCCGGGTACAAGAATCTATTTGCCTACTTGTGGATGTCCAGCAGGGCCCTGGACATGCTAAAAGCAGGTGGGAATGTGGTGGGAGGTGTGGAGGAGTTTGTTTCTGCTGGTGGTAATGTGCGGAAAGCAGACTCCACAACTGTAAGATTGTAAAGTTTATTTGTTTATTTGGCGCTGGGCAGCACGGGGTGTAGTCCCACCAAAGTCGTGCACGCCGAGCAGCAACGTGTCTCTTCAATTTATACAATCAAATATTACACATGCATTAGATTTCCCAGTACACCTATACATATGCATCTATCCTCATTGCATATCAAAATTAGTTCCAAGAAATAATTTCCATATACTCCTCCGAGTTGCACTTGCGCAGTGCGTCCTAGTGGTGGTCGTCGGGGGTCCCAAGATGAAGGCCCATCCTCTTCATCACGGTGTCCGCTGATTGACCTTTGTTTCTGT